AATTTTGCTTCTGCTTCGCTGAAGAATTCGCGTGCTGTGGTGTAATCGGTAATTAGAAAAAAAAAAAAAAAAAAAAAAAAAAAAAAAAAAAAAAAAAAAAATTATTGTATATCTCTTATTTTAGTGCTTTTGTTAACACTCTAAATTAAATTCATATCATGTTCAAAGCATCTTATAAAAGGCTCTATGATTCTTTACTGTTACCAAATTCTAGATGATTCTTCACAAATTATTTCTAAGATATATCCTTTTCACTATATGAGATTAAACAGAGGGTCTATTCAACCAGTCATTATTGAAATTCTGTTCTAGATTTGTTTCAATAAACCATCATTTCTGACAGATTATACTCAGATCAATTAATTAGTTCCTTTTTTAAATTTGTCCCACACATGATCCTAGGATGTAATTGGTGACTCTATGTGTTTGTTGTGTTTCTTATTTGTTATGCACATCTAAGCTTTTCTTGATATAGAAATGGTAAACAATGCTGATCTTTTGACAAAAATAAACCAAATCCCTCACTTTTTGTCAAAAATTATGAAAAAAAAGCAGCAAGAGAGTGTTATAGTTTTGTGAGTTTTTCAACCAAGGAGTGTTGTTCTAAGAGTTCTTCACAGCTTTTCATCTTCAAACAAACTTTAGTCTTCTTTCTACTTGCTGTTTCTGAAGACTCCTTCAGTTTGGATGCCAGTTTTAACTATACCATAATTCTAAGTAATATTTGAAAGAATTAAATATTAAGTCTCTACAAGAAAAGTTACAAAGCAATTTTTATAAAAAAAATTACAACTCAGCTTAAATTCAATATTTTAATATTGAAAAATCAAAATATACTAAAAATAATGTATTTGGACTAAATGTTTATAATATTATTTAAAAGAAGACTTCGTGACTTTGTAATAGTATAGCGTAAGAAACGTTTAGTTTTTAGAAAACTTTGAAAAAAGAAAAAAAATTCGACCTGTGCATCTAAAAGAAACTTAGGTTGCTTTCATATTTATTTCATAATATATGTATGATTTTCGAAATTAATTAAAAAAAATATTTTAATAATTGAATGTTTAAGGTAACCTGATATAGATTTGATTTACTTAGTTGACGCACAACCTTAATGTAACGTTGATAACCCTATTTTCCTTGCCTTGTAAGTTGTGTCTTTGCTTGTTTTGTATTCCGATATAAATTTTAATTTATCAACGAAAAAATGAAAGTATATTATTCCGATATCTGTTTAAAACATGCTCCAAAATATGAAATTTTATCCGGCAAATTAGTTGAATACTTTGGTAATTTCATTATGATAATGATCTCATTATAATTATTGATATTTAGTGGATAGTAAGGCACAGACTTGTATGCGTTAAAAATATTTAATAAGTCTGCACCTCTAACACTAATGAGTCATTATGATTTAATTAATCAATTTCTTGATCATACTTCCAATACTTACAATCGGATCCTAGAAAGTCCATCCCGTCTCTCAATTATTGTAGACCGATTACGAACTCAAAATTCATCTCAGCACTTTGAATTTTTATGCCCTTCAGATCATGGTCTTGATGCTATTCTAGCAATTCACGATGTTGATTATATAGAATATTTAAAGTCAGCTTATGAGGAATGGTGTAAGGAAGGTGGTAATAGAGATGGGGTAATACCGGAAGCATTTCCTCATAGTGGGTTTATTAGTACTAGTCGAGACAAGATTAAGAACGCCAAATCATCACTTGCTAAGGCCGGATTGTATTGTTTCGATCTATCATGCTGTATAACAGAAGGTTATATTGCCTAATCATTTACATGTGATAAATTATTATTGAAGTAAGTTAAGATTGATTTATTATGTTTGTGATTACTGTTTATAATCTTTAATAGGAACTTGGGAAGCAATCTATGAATCTGCGCAGATTGGTATCAGTGCTGCTAAGGAACTTATCAAACTTAATAACGAATCCGTTCATAATAAAGGTCATCCAATCGGTGTATTCGCTCTTTGGTAATATATTCATTGTTAATAGTGATATGAATCGAAAATCGATTAATCGGTTAGTTGGCTGAGTTGGCAACTAATCGATTAACAATTTTGACCCAACTATTAATCGATTAACCAATTAATCTAAAGTTTAAAAAAAATATATGAAAAAGAAATTAGAAATCAGAAATCACTAATCGTTAATCATAATCAATAATCATTAATCATAATCGATTATTTTTTTTATGATTTGCAAAATTTACAGAATTTTGCAAACCGCAATAAATTAGATCAACTAAACAACTAATCGATTAATCGACTAATCAATTAATCGATTAGTTAGCAATAATCGATTTGTAATAGATTTTTTAAAAAATTTTCAACCTACTAATCGATTACAATATTTGTTTCGATTCGTATCATTAATTGTTAATTTATTCATTTATATTAATTCATCCGGCTAATACAATGCGTATTTTTTGGTATAAAGTCGTCCACCTGGCCATCATGCAAGTTCAAATATCAGTGGTGGAAGCTGTTTTCTTAATAATGCTGCTATCGCTGCTAAACTATTGATCAATGATCTTGATTCTAATGGAAATGCTAGAAAAGTTATCATATTGGATATTGACTATCATCAGTAAAATTTTTCTTATTATGAGCATGCTTTTTTATTTATTTATTTATTTACTTATTTTTATTTATCAACAGTGGAAATGGAACACAAGACATTTTTTATACTCAATCAAATCCTTTATATGTTTCATTACATGCATCAAATGATTATCCATGGTTTACTGGTGAAACAACAGAAATTGGTGAAGGTGAAGGTGAAGGTTATAATGTTAATATTCCATTACCAAAAGAAACTAGTGATGAAGTATATTGTAAGATGTTAGAAAAAGTTATTAAAGAAAAGATTGCTTCTTATGAGGCATATTATCTAATTGTCTCTCTGGGTGGTATGTTACTTTTGTTTATTGTTTATTGTTTACTGTTTACTTATAGTTGTTTTTTATTAACTTTATGAAATAGTTGATACATACAAAGATGATCCAATTGCGGGATTTCAAGTTACAGCAGATGCATATAAACAAATTGGAAGAATAATTAAATCAATAGAGTTACCAACACTTTTTGTAATGGAAGGTGGATATCACATGGAAACTTTGGGAATTAATGTTTCTAATGTGTTGTTGGGGTTTCTTGATTGCTAATTATAAACAAATTTTTTAACCAATCTTATAATATTTTTTTAACTCATTATTTGTTTTTTTTTAAACATTTTTGCTTAATAATTTTACATATATATTTTTTGTTTTTTTCCTGTTTGTTTTTTTTTGTGAGGTATTTTTTTTTTGTTTGCTTTTTTTTAGATTTTTTTTCTAGTTTTGATACTATTTTTAAAAATTATTAAACTTTTTTTTATATTTAGCAAGTTTTGCTTTTTGTTACTGCTTTATTAGATTTTGGAATAGATTTTTTAAAAGTAACTAATTATAAAAACAGGTATAATATATAATAACAAAGATATATATAGTTATTTTACTAGATATTTTATATTTAATTGTTTATTATATAATTTTTTTAAAGATTTTTAATTTACTGAAGGTATAGGTTTTAGATTTACCAAATAGTTTTAGATTAGTCTAACTAAGTTTAATTTTATATTATAATTTAAGATTTAATACAAAAATAAAATATACTATAGTTTATATTAAAATAAAAAAATATTGTAGTAGCTTATATTACTGTAAGATTCAAAGTCTCTATTTAAATTTATAATATCTACTACAGTAAAATTTTATATATACTTATTAATTAATAATATTAACTTTAAACCTAATCTAATTGTAAAAAAACCTACAAAAAACCTTTTAAAAATTTGAATATAATTTTATTATCTATAATATTTAAAATTGTTTAAAGAATATTTAGACTTTAAAATATAATAAATTAGTTTAAAAAAATATAATTATATATTTATAGTTCTAAATATTTTGTTTAAAAGATCAAAATAGATTATTTTAATAAATTTTAAGTAATTTAAATTTTGTTTTTATGTATAGGTTTTATAATTTAGTATATGTACATTATAATGCACCTCCTAATCAACCAATTAAAATATAAGATCACGTGTAATATTACACAATCAGAAAAATTTAAAACTAGTGTTCGTTTTGCTAAAAATTGCTTATAACTCAAAATTTTATATATGCAACTATCTTTTGGTCTTAATAAAAAAATTCTTTGCATGATTTTACTATAAATTTATCTTTTATATCTACCTTAACCTTATGTAATACTAACTCTAATCATATAAAGAACTATTGTTTTAATTTTATATTATACCTGATCTTATAGGATGCATTACAATATATTTGTACAAATGATTAAATTCTTTATTTAAAATTGTTTATAATTGTTTACAATTTGTTCAAAGCTATTTTGTATAATACTATTTTAAACTATATTAGTTTATTAAAGGCTTTATATAATTTTATTATCTTTTTTATTTGGTTTTGCTGATTTTTTAGTTATTTTGTCTTTGTTTATTAAAATTTAACTATTTAATAAATTACAAGAATTTCTTTTTTATTCTATATTTATTTTATTAATATATAAAAGTAAAATTATTTAAAAATTTTTATTTATCAAAATATTATAGAGAAGTTAATTATAGTTACAAAATATTATTTAAACAGAAATTTTTATATTTGAAAGAGAGCTGATATTCATATCTCCAAATATAATATTCATGGCTTCACAAAATTAAAAATTTTTATAACTTTAAATAAAGATATCTCAAAATCCATCTGATTAAATTTGATAAAAAAATTTTTTATTTAAATTTTTCAGATCATTAGAATTTAAATAAAAAATTTTATCAACTTTAATCAAGTAGTTATTGAGATATTATTGCATAAAATTTTAGAAAACTTTTGGTATAACTTTGTTTTGATAGATATTTTAATTTTTTTCTAAATTTTGATAAAATATTTTAACAACTATCTAATCAAATTTAATAATTTTTTTTTATTTGAATTCTACAGATATATAGAATTCAAATAAAAATAATTTATTAAATTTAGTTAGATAGTTGTTAAGATATTTTGTTTAAAGTTTTAAAAAATTCTAATTTTGTAAAGAGTATGAACAATGTTGTTACAGAACAGTTGTGAATAGTAAATTTGAATACTTTAAATAATTTGATTAATTAAATAAAAAATTACCCAAAATTTTATTAAGATAATCTATATTAATTTCTAAATAAAATATATATTTTTTTTTTTTTAATTATCGGCAGCCTCGCCGGTATCTTTATTAGATCAAAGCATATATATACATATATTTAACTA